GAGTAATTGGTACGTTGCCAGCCTTTGTATTGGTTGTCATGTATTTGAGGATTGGGAATGATTGGGGATGGGGAATGGGGGAAGGGTTGGGACTCCAAATTTTACTTGAAACATGAACCACAACATTCTCATTTCACATCAGTATTCTGTTAGTCCATGGAATCGTTCTGGTCGACTGGAATTGAACATATAATTCGTGCCTGCAAGGCCAATTTAGTGCAATGTTATAAAAATGAACAAGTACTTTTAAAACAAAACCTTATTTAATGTAATTTTTTACCTATCACAATCCTTCTTATTTTGGAAACAAAAAAAAAAAACAGTTCACTTACCTTACCGTAAGTGACAACACTATAAAAATTTTATTTCCGTTACGTTTCGTTTAAATCCACATTGAGTGTCTTGTTTAAAAGACATAAAAAGAAAAATTACTCACTTTGAAAATTATCGTATCAACAAAAGACCCGAGCAGTAAATCGCATCCTCAAGAAGCAATAAAGTTATCAAAAATAGTTCAGCTCCCGCTTTCATATCGACGCAAGCGCAGTGCGGCATCCAATCCGATGCACTCGACTGACTCACAACTATGCAACGTTATATTGTATGAATATGTAGAGACTTGCATCTTGCATCTTTGTAGAACACTAGTAGAAAACATTGAGAACATCTTGATTAATGGTATCAGATGTTATTGATGGTTCATGCTTAGTTTATGGTTTAAAAATAGTATCATGTAATACTTACATTTATTTGCAAGCGCTGCTTAAGCGTGAGACAGTTACTGATAATAATTGATTAGTGGCTTTGTCGAGATAAGTTTACCAGTTTTAAGCCACGCAAGAGGCTCATACACACACACGACACTACTGATATAGTGTAGCTAGCTCAAATAATTAAGACGTGAAAAAGACGTTATAATTAATTTTATACGCTTATGAAAGCTTAAATATTAAAAATATTTATAGGTTGAAGAATACAAAAAATTATAGACCGTCTACGAGAGCAGTGTTTCACAAAAATGCACTTAATAGAAAACCATCTTAAATTATACAAAAATTATGTGTTATTCCTGAGAATAAGAAATACAACTCAACCCAACTTTCAACTTTCGCCTGAAACACAGTTTGTCCTAGTTCAGGCACCTAATATTATGAACTTGGTATACATAGGTTTAAGCAAAATATTCTAGATTATGAATTCTTCAATAAATTTTATTATATTATTATTTATTTATAGTTATTATGAAAACAGATAATGGTGAAAAACGGTTACGGTTGCCCTTGTTCTGCATAATGTTTTGCGCTTGACTGTCGACCTTTGGGTTGAATAAATTCGATGACGCAATCATAACTTCTAGATGGATCTGTAATATTCGTTTTCAATCGGCTTTTTTAACTTTGTGCTCTCCAGTCGGTAGCAATTTAATTTTGACATTTTATTTTTAAATAACGTAGAATCAGTTTTAATTTTTAATTATCAAATTGGACTAAGATTTTTCTTTGCCACACTGTCTTGAAAAGTGTTACTGACGACTATATCTTTTTCTATTTTAGTAGCTTTTTTTTCGTCTTTGTTAGTGAAATTTCCACCTGTTATCCTAACTGGTTTTGATAAACATCATGTCATTGACCCAGTACATTGGCTCGTTTACTTCCAACATATGTAAGTGCACTGGTAATTATCATATTGCCACGCGTGACGGAACCACGGTCGCGTGACACATTTGTCAGGAAATCGTGTATTTGTTTGTTTGTGTGCATGTCTGTTGGTGTTCCTGTCGGAAACTGTTGTATGTCTCTATGTCAAGGTTTTTGGTGTACGCTTGGTACTTTTTGCATAGTTGCAGCATTTTTACGGAGGATATATTTTCCATTGTATTTAAATACAGGGCACATATATATGTAAGTTTTTACATCTTATAGTAATAAAAGCATACAGTATGCATGTTTGAGTTCAATAGAGTATAATGTGAATGTATAATTCTGTTCTTTATAACCTATAATAAATTAAGCTGTGAAAAAGCTTCAGATACTTCCGCTTAGTTAAATGTATAAAAAAACCTAAAAGTATTACAATATAAATGAAACAATGAAACAATGAAACAATGAATTTATTTTTGCAAATAGGCCATAAAACGGCACTTTTACACGTCAATTTATATGTAAAAAACTAGATGAAGCCGGCATTTCCTATCTGACTACTCTGAGAAGAAATGCCGAAACAAACTCAGAGGTCATATACTTAGTTGGTTTCGGTTTTTTAAAGACATTAGAAACTACGCTGCCAGTAACAAAATGACAGAAGAATGATTCAACAAGTAAAACACAATACATAACCGAAACTATTACTGGCTGACATTTAACCACTGCGAAATTCTTAATAACCATAAAAGCTTTTAACCATAACCAAAAAAAAACATTCTCAAATTATATAAGACACGTAATGTTAGTGGCCGATGGTGGCCCTGACATACCGCCTCCGTAGTTTCTGATTACTTTCGTTTTCGATCACCTCACGTCAAAACTTTCGCTGTATACTGTTGTATCATTTTATCTCGGGCAGGTTACGTCAATGGCCCGAGGTTACTAATGACTTATTGAATAAAGTGGTCCGACGGTGTTCTTGGTACTATTAGTGCTATATGTTATGTAAAAATTATGATTGTTATTCCCCCAAAAAAAAGGTTGAGGTGATTTTATGTTAAATCGCGATACTATTTGTAGGTTATGTAATGAGTTTCATATACTAAAAGTTTATTAGTTGCAGAATGCCATTAATACCGTTTATGCGGCACGGATTTTATAGTAAATTTCTAAATTTCGAAAATCAGGACAAAAAAAATGGCGAACCTATTTTTGAAAAATTTGGTACTCATACGCAGTATGTCTGTCAAAGTCTAAAAATGTTTATAAGTAAGTGCATTTACATTTTAAACATTATGCAAGACATACCAGTGCGGAGTAAACACTCTTAAAATAACCGTTCCGTGAAAGACTAAATATCTAAAAAGAATACAATAATACTTTGCCTAACCAAACCCAACTTGTCCGACGGATACAAAAGTTGGAGGCAGTCGACTGTCCCTACATTCTTTAAAAATTCATAAAGGCACTAACAGTACCTAATTAGTTTCTCAAATATTTTGCTAGCGCTCCAACAGCTTTCCATAAGCTACCGAATAATTTTCTAGTACTTTGCTAACTACGCTATTATTTTGAACAGCGATGATGCATCATCTTTTAACGAGCTATATATGATCGAAGAGATAGCCAATAAAACGTTTATGAACGTATAATTCGCTTCAGTAATAACGATCTGTCATGGTGAATGTTTCTATACAAAGAAAAAATGTGAATAGGATAGTGTGAAAAGTGATATGGTTAGAAAGGAACACTACACTACTATACAGTGTGGACTGTATGACAATTTATAACAATGTAATATGGACTCTATACATGATGGAATAAACTGTAAATTCGATTAAGGAGGTCTGTTATCTACAATGGATATTAGCCAAATATAATTATGTATACGATATTGATCTATCTATACGTATGTTATTTGCGTTTCACAAAAAATATTCGTTTATAAATTCGCCGATCAAAGTTTACGACAATTTATTCAAACTGTTTTTAAATTATGTTATTTAAAAAACTATTTCCATCCTTTAAGTATTGCAGTTACCAGTTAATTTGCGATGAAATTCTTTCGTTTGGGGAAAGTTGGTTGTACTCGTTATAAAAGGTATCGTTTAATTTTTTATGTCCGTATTCATTGATATTAAAATTTCGTTGAGTATTTTTTGATCTTCTTATATATTATTGGAGATGTCGCAAAATTGGTTTCTTTTAAGATAAGAAGGAAAATAGAAAACGACTCTGTTGTACTTATTTTAGGTCGTCTTTCGAGTCCATCGGTTAAGTATTAGTATTTTAAGCTTTATATACTTTGACAATAAAAAATTAAAAAAATCTATACCACATGCTCTTATTTGCGAATTTCGTCTAAATAACTATTGCACTATATGGGTAACAATGTAAATGCTAAATTATTATTATTTAAAACAAGTATTTAATAAGTTTTAAAAAAGGAATTACCTGTCGTCCTATTAATAAAAAAATGACAACTCTAGTTTAGAATGCTCCTCAAAAAATCGTGTTCAAAAATAAGGCTAACTGCACACGTAGCAGCAATATAAAACAATCTCAAAATCAGTAGAACTATATGATAGAAATCTTAAAAGTATGGACACTCCACTAAAGTGGAACTAGGTCTTCTCATGGCCGTGAAATGGGCATTGTATGGCTCATGTTGTCAGCAACCAGTTTCAATGTACAGCTGACATCTAAACAATTAGTCATAAAAATAAATAGTAGTGCTATAAAAACGTCTATTTTATGATCGTGTAGGAGTTTCGCGAATCAAAGCATTAGGTTTTTAATACTAATGTAGGATCTAAAACGCTACTATCCACTAATTAACTAGTATACCTACATACATTACTAGTGTTAAATACATATATATATAGGTACAACCAATTAGTAACATGTGATTACATTTTTTAAATATGTTATAAAAAATAGGCTTTTTATGTAGTCATTTTTGTGAAAACTATTGTAATTCCTAGTCTTTAAGAAGAATTGAGTTGCAAAATTCTAAATTTAAAACATGTGTAAAATTTTGTTGCGGTTTTGAAAATTAATGTCACATTTTCCGCTCCATCTTGCTTTTGTGGTCGAAATTCAATACTCAGATATAAAGAATTTGAATAATTTAAGTTTGCATTTTACGAAATATCTTTATTCTTAAAAATATCATTCACTCAGTATCACGTCTCATATACCTACTTGGTTTCACTTGGTTCCTTCTTTGGTCTTGGTCTGCTTTCACATTCCTTACTTCACACACTAAAACTCACACCATTTCTCAATTCTCTCTCATCACTTCAAAACAAATCCAAATCAAAACTCAGTCTACATTGAACCTTTTGCTCATTGCAGGTGAGGTCAATGTTCGGTAACAGTGACAACACTACAGACCTTATGCTACCAATACTCTTAGACATGGCTAACTTAATACGGAGAGCCGTCAGGTCAGGGAAGGAACCGAGAGAAGTGAAACAACCATATGAACCGCAACCACAATTACTCAGACGATCTTTCACAGAAGAAACAGATTTAGATGATGAACCATTTGACATGGGTGATGAGCCTACAACAGCTCGATCCCGTAGAATACTCCCAAGGAACCACACTCACAAGCCTAACACCAGAGATAGAATTCAGAACACGACACATAAAGAAATTCAAAACGTTACCAACACTAAAGTTGATGTAAGTAATCGCGATGTTGATCTCGATAAAACAAAACACTGTCTCACACTTGAAAAAAACAAGAAAACGACAAATAAATTACTGTTTTATGTTTAATAGGATTAGATTTTCTCACGATAAACGTTACTATTAAATCATCGGCTGATGTAATTGTTACAAATTATATAAATACTTTTGTACAATTACATGGAGTTACACACAAACATGTCAGTGACATACTTCAAATGTATTGTTACAATCAATCAACGCATACCTGATATATCTTAGCATTTAATAGGTATTGAGAACTATGCATTTATAATTTGTAACCATATCAATAAAAAATGCACTTTAAGTTGAACTACGAAGTTTTTAATTCCTCTGATAACTGTTACAGAATTCTACAATATCAACAACGACGACAGAAGCAACCACTCCTATGACAACTAGTAACAAAAGCCGAGCAACAATAACATCTCGAATAGACAACGGGACGATAGACCTTACAGCTGAGTCCACGAACCAAACACTAGCTCAAGATCTTCCAGTGGCAGAGAAGCTGCGAGCTCTTAGCAGATACACTGATAGAAAAGGTGAGACAAATGATAATTTTAATACTGGTGACACAGCTTTGCAGGAAGGCAATGGTTGTACTAAATTTCTCCTCTATGTGATGGATATTATTATACATGTAAACCATCCTCTTCAAACAATTATATCTATTAAAAAATCTATCAATAGGGATATAGGGGCAGAGCAAGACTTTGTTTTATACTATGTAAATGCCATAATGTATGTTTAAGATTCTGAAATTAAAACTAGCACATTCGGATATAATACCACAGATTAATTAGTACAAGCATATTTTATTATAAGTGCATCAATTCATTATAGCATTTTATTTCTTGCTGGGAATAAATACACAACTCAATATACCTCCAAAAGACAAGATATAAATATGAAATATTACAATAGTAGACTAAAACACTTAATAAAGTTATTTAAGTACATAACAAACAAAGTGAAATTAAAAGAAAACGTAAATTTTCAAAAGTTAGCAACGTGTTATTGCGTAAATGTGTGAGTCGCAAGAAAATCTGTCTGATCTCTTGAACCGAAGACTGTTTTTACTGAAGTTCTCGTACCTTACGTTTTGCGATAGAAAGGTGTTATACACATAACAAAATATTTTTTTGCTTAGCATGATGATTTGTATTCGTTATTTATACTAAAATTATAAATCTGTAGAATTTGTTTGTTTGTTTGAACGCGCTAAAATAAATTATTAAATTATTTTGTGTTTGATAGTCCATTAAAGGCTATAGAATATGACGTTACGATCTGTAGGAGCCTAGCAGCGGGTTATACCGCGCGAGAGTAGTTAGTTTTTTTTTACTTTAACAATGTCGATAGTAGTTCATGTATTTTTTTTTTGTAATTCCAGGTGCATCATTCCGCCGCGGCGTCTACCAGCCAAAACCACCATCTTTGATTCGCCGCACCACTCCAGAGCCAGCCGCCACGCCACCGACTATTCCTAAGAGACGACAGATTCCGGCTAGAAAGCTGCCCACATCAGCTGCAGACCCCAATAAATGTGAACTCTTTACGAACACCCTATGTCTGCATTCTGAGGATTATCCAACGTAAGTAATGTATCTGAAAGAAAGTATTATGATAACAACTTAATAAATCGTAAATCCAGGTTTCTTTCAACGGTTACATAATATGACCCGGAAAAAGTCACATTGGTATTGGCTAGGTATGAACTCCGCGTGCATGAGGAGCGAACCTTTGAGCTACCACGACGGCCTGTTAATAATTTAACCTTGCACTAAAAAGTCCAATAATACGTCACGACGAACAAGACGTCACAATGCGGATGATTCGAACAGCACTGACCTATGGTTATAGCCTGATAATATGGTACACAAATAATAAAAATAAATAGAAATTCCATATAACAAAGCATGCAAAAATAGGAAAAGGAAATATGTATACATAATAATATCTGAACTCATTCATAAAAATGTATAACCGGTCGAGCAACTTCTAAAATTTTTCGATTTTAAATGGTTTCTTAATAATTTCGGAAACAAGTTTTTACGTAGGCATGTTAATCATTACATAACCAGGATCGTATAGAAAGTAAGAGTTATGTACTAGCGAAAGTATTTCTCTCGACTTGTGTGGTTTGCAAAATGTCATGTGATTTTCGCGGTGCGATAGGCGTGACTGTTACTGTTATGAGAATTAGGTGTCAGGTTTATGCCTTTGTCATTATGGATACAAAATTAAATTCGCAATTTGCATACTTTTTAATATTGTTAGTCACTGGTAATTGAATATTGTTATGCTAATAGAACTTTACCATTGTTACATCATGGTGAGAGAGGCGATAAAATATTTTTGTGCCATTACGAAATATTCCATTTAAACACTAGAAATAATTAAATTCATAGTTGTTTTATTTTATATTCTTGTTTTTATAATCCAGCAACGTGCCTGTTACTCCTCTAGTGTTATCCATGAGTGGCGCTGATCACTTACCATCAGGTGATCCGTCTAATCGTTTTCCTCCGATCCCATATAAAAAAAAGAAAGTACGCACGCACAAAGTTACTCATAGAGTGCAAAGTTTTATCAGAAGTTTAATAAAAAAAAACAGTCTATTAATTATAATGCATGTAGAACAGTTCCAAATGGCAAACTGCTTAAGAATCCTGTCGCAAATATTAACGTTATTTTAATGTCTTCATTGTCTTTGTAACAAAGCCTAAATTACAAGTACAGATATAAATGTAGGTTGTTATGTAACTATAATAGAGATATCTGTTTGTTTCTTTGACAGTCAATTACATTTGCAACGGTATCGAGGTTTGAGTCGTGAGCTATCGAGTCGTAACCGCTACGCAGCCTTGAAGACGAATCTTTGTATAATTTTCAATTTGATTGTAAATTGATTTATGTTTTTCTTGTTTGATAGTCATTTTAGTTAATTACTATTACATATTATCTTTATAAAAACGTTTCAAAATTATACATTGGCAACCCACGGTTTTAGAATCTGACCTAAAAACTAAGTTTGCTTAAAAACACTAATAGTAAATCTTATAGTCGTGACCTAAGAAAGTAATTGATTTGATCATAAATGTTTGTAAGAAAAAATATTTATTGAATACAAAGATTAAATTTAGAAAGTATTTAATCACGATTTGATCAATGTTTTAATAACGAGATCATTACAAGTATCAGTAGTGCTCAATGAAGCATAGCGTGTATCTAAAATTTTTGATTAGGTATTTGTTAATCAATTAAGATAATAAATTTAAAATATGACTATAAACACATAATTTACTACGAGTTTTAACTATAAATAATATAAATGTTGGAAATAATGTATTGTTTACGACTATAAGATTTAATATTAAACAATATTGTTTTCTGTTTTAACATAATTATTATAATATTTAAATACTTAACACAAATGGGCGTGCCTTTAGTAATTATGTAATGTACATTTTGTTTTTTTTTTAAAAAAAACAATACAAATATTCCACAATATTCGTTTAATTTGATCGTAAAAAATGATATTTTAAATTGCAAAATGGCTAACGACTTTCTAATTTGAGCTTTATTTTAAATATGTTTTAATTTACGAGTTTCATGTTAGATCACGATGTTGTTAATTTAGCTCTCTCGCGGCACCTAGGAATTTTAATATTTATTTTCTTTAACGAGGTTCGCGTGGGATTTGATGTTATAGGTATGATGATTACAGTGGCAGAGAAACGTCTGCTGATGTTTAAAGTATAGGTAAAGTGTGTGAGGTAAAGGATGGCAGCGATTCTAAGTATGTCTGCTACGTTTAAAGGTTTCATCCTTAAAAAATATTCCTATTAAAACTCTCTTGCATTAGGCTGGGTAAGAAAAAGTAGTAAACTATTATTGCAAAAATAGCCTGTTCTTTCTTCTATTCTAAACCGGACTGCGGTACATCATGTGTTTTACCCACAACGTAGGTACGGGTTGTTCTAGTAATTGGTTTTAGTAGATGACAAAAGAAACCACAGAACTATAAATTTAATCACCTAGGTGTAGGTACGAAAAACAAACTATTTTTATGAATATTTTGGTCTTCCAGAACAAAACTATAATTTTCAATTATTGTTTAATTAACCTATTTACTGTTATTCTATAATGTACTGTGTTACTCTTCGTGCCATAGAGATAAGTAGATGTTATCTTTGTTTGTAGAAGAAAGAACATCAATAGCCCATAAGTGAGGAAATGCATTGTTCTCAAACTGAAAATATATTTTTGATCATAAATGATATAAGCAATTTGGAATTATAATTAGAGGTATCCTCACAACGTTCTTCTTCACCGTTTCTCAGTGATGACAAAATAAACTCAGAAAGTACGAAGGAATAACTCATTGATACACCAGGTTTCGGACCCCTGATCTCAACACTGTCCGGAGAGAGTAAAATTACCTATTATATTAATCCTGACTAAAAACTATTTCTGATTCCAGTGAAGCCATCGTACAATCAATTCGCCGTAACAAGGCAGCTGCAGCAGCTCTCCTGGCTGACTACAAGGACCCTGGTGAAGGTGTGGTGGATGGAGTCACGGCGGCACAAGAGGCTAAATATAATGAACAGCACTATCTTGTGTCTAACAGGTTTGTTGAAAAATTGATAACATAGGTTCAAGCCTCAAGACTTAAGCAAACTTGTTTGAGTCTTCTTTTTTTCGCCGTTTCTGATAATATTTTCGGATAAAATGTGTTGGATATGATATTATTATTTTAGTTATGATATCAGTACTATTTTCTTCTTCGAAATTAGTTTACTGTACATTCTAACGATATTCACCACTTTTATATAGACAAGACTACTAAAAAGATTTGTAAAACTATATGGTTTGGGAAATAAAGATTTAAGTTATGTCATAAACAATCTTCTTTGTTAATAACTACCTTATGGCCGCGACTACGCTGTTTTTGAAAACTGCCGTGTTTCAAGCGACAGCTCAACTAAAATACGCAAACCCAATAAAATGCCTACAGCACTTAGAAAGATTGTAACTGCCTATCAGTAAAAGAATTTTGTAAATTCGACCGGCGCGGCGGTTCCAAAGATTACCCCTTACATACAAAGTTACACATTTTACATTTATTTTATATTTATATACCCTGTATAGTTACAATTTCCCCCTGACGTTACAATTAAAACTGGCTTTTAATACACTCAAATTTATAACCCCTTACAAAACACCAAATAAAAAGTTGTAAATAACTTGTTATACAAACTCATTCTAAAATTACAGGCGAGGTGATACAGCGAACCGTGACTTTGCTGGAGCCGGTGAAGCTGGCTTCATGTGTCCCAGCACTGTGAAGTACGCCAGACCGCAACGAGCGAGGGCCACGTCTGGACAGTGGAAGTACATTGTCAACACTGGAGAGCACACACAGACATTGAGACTGGAAAAGTGCTTGTAAGTGATTTAAAATACCATAGACTATATACTTTTAAAGTCAAAGTCATACTATACGTATACCATAAATAGGTACTTTTGAAACGTCAAAATAGAAAAGTAGTCTGTTAGTCTGTTCATCAGTGAAGCTAGGTGCTCATTCCAAATTGTAGATCCGAATGGAGAAGAACGAACAAGAAACTCCATATTCCAATTTAAAGATATTTCCATGTTTTTGCACAAATGGGTCGGCTCGACCGGAATGATACCACGGCCTTACAGTATACCTGTGTGAAGTAACACCTTATGTTTCACTGTACACTGTATGAGGTTCCCGGAGGCCCAATCCTTCCCACCTTCTCAACCCTCAAATCCCCTATCCCTAGATCTCTAGCAACACACAATCACAATAGGCTGGCAACATATTTGTAGTAACTCCTTTGTAACTGCGAGTCTCCCACGGACAACTGCAACACCAAAGGAGTTACGAGTACGTTGCCGGCCTTTGGAGAAAAGGGTTGTGGATATTTAAGGATTGGGAAGGGATAGGGGAGGGGCAGGGATTGCGCTTCTGGTAACCTCACTCACACGGCGAAACACAACGCTGTGGTTCACGGGCGACGTCGATTACTTACCTGTCTTATTCGTCTGCTCGCTTGCTTCATACATAAAAATTACTGTAGGTTGAATATTAGTCACGCAAACAAACAAATATTCTAAATGAAATATTTCAATTTCATATAATGTTTCAATACAAAGTATAATGGCCTATTGTGTATAAAAACTACGATTAAATTAAACTTACACAACATTAAATTAAAGTGGTCTGCAATTTCAGCGTCATGTCAACGTCTTACAAAAATGTAATTATTTCTGTAGAGAACACGTAACGTCAGACAATTAATCTTGATATTGTGACTTTGTATCGAAAACAATATTTACTTCATTTTTAAATTAAAATTCTTTAATAGTAAAATACTGTCTTACAAACGTAAAGACCAAATTTCATTAATAAATTATCTTTTTTTCAGGAAACCCAAAGAGTCGTGCACTTATTTAACTGACAACTTCAAATCCAAGTGTGTGCAAGTGTACAACTATCATAGACTACTAACATGGGATCAGCAGAATGGGCTTCATATGGACATATTTAAGGTGTGAAATTGTTCATAATTGGTTTTGGTGAGATTGACATTGAAATAAAATGCCATAGTTACTGGTACTAAGTTATATTTATTACCTATTTCAGGTTCCAACATGTTGTTCCTGCCACATTGAAGGCTACAGCGTATCCTTCCCACCACTTGGCCACAGACTGCACGAAACTTCATCAGAACACTTCCCCGGCGAAGATTTATCATCAGAAACTGGAAACCATGCGTTTGAGAACGTTCAATCGACCATACAAAAACCTAAAATCAAATCACCACCATTTACTCACAAGAAACCTTTAGAATCTTTTCCACCATTCACAGAGAATCAAAATTTGATACCTGGAAGTCCATTCAGTAAACATAATGATAATGATGACTCAGTGCCACTGAACCCAATAGACTCGTATGGAAACACATATTTCCCAGACTCATTCAACCAAGCCACCTCAATCAGACAAATTAAACGACCACTTCTAGCAAGAAATCCCGCCCAAACAAATTATGATGAAGTTACATTACCGAGTTACTTAGAGCCCCCCACTCCAGCAGCGGGTTCCTCATTCAACAACTTTATTAAAGACACTTCACCCAAATTTAAAGTGCCCGGAAGTCAATTTAAAAGGACAACAAGACCTAATACGCCATCACGAAGACCAATCAGAAAGAAACTTGCCGGAGGACCAGACGACTTGGTATCATCAGGATCTCAAGCAGTCGAATATCCACCAAATAGCAGTGGAGACACGGCAGAAGAAGTAAATGATTACGAAGAACCTGAAATTGGACAAGCAACCTCAGTGAACACTCCAAAACCAAGAATCACAATAGCACCAAAACTACCAGCTCTGACAACAGAAAAAATAACACCAGCACACAAACAAAGGGAACCTAGTAATACGAATGAAAATTTCAATTCAAATGGTAAGAGAGTAAACTATAACTATCATCCAATCATAGACTTCTTTGATGAAGACAAAGCTATGGAGACAGAGGAATCTATAGACAGAGAAGACATAGAATCTAGCTTTATACCAAGCGAGGAATCAGAATGGAAACCCATAAACCACCCTCCTTCTAGAGATAGTCAAATAAATACTGTTGGTAGAAAAAAACATAAATGAAATGTTTAAAATGTAAAGTAAAATATTAATTATGGTGATCTTTTCATAATAATGAATAGTTGTAAGAACATAAGGACAACAATTCATGTTTAAATATGTATTTTTTAGAATATATTTAGAACGAGCGATTGAGACGATGTTTTTGCTGATGTAATATTAATATACTAAGTTTTTAGGAAACAAATAATATTATCATAATGAAACCCAAAAATTACCGTATAAATGTATAAATGAAGAAATAAATAATATTTGAATATTAATCCAGTACTAATTCGATGCTTGACTACTATTTTATATGTTGGGCAGTCCCTTAGGCAGCACTGGTATTAAGATTGCATCAGCCATTCAATAAGTAATCGGTCTTGATTGCTTGTCTAAACTCTCCCAGTTTAGCTATAGTATACATTGCGTTCAGCAAGATTGTAAACTTTCATTATACAACGAAACCAAAACCAAGTTGCAATGTAAATTGTTAATATTTATTTATTGTTTATTAATTATTATATTGTAATTTATTTAAATTATTTGTAAGTTTTATAGAAGTAAGTTTCTTGTAAATTATAAGGTTTCAAAGACTTGCCACTTAAATAAAAATAAATACGTTTAATGTGCTTTTTTTTAATCCGAACACAAGAAATTTTGGTATTGTTTATGTTGCACTTATGTTTAGAAATAGGTAGTATGAATTCAGTTTAGATTTTAATGCAAAGTACAACGGATCCAGTTAAGTAGCGTCACAAGTGAAAGCTATAGCTCCAAAGTTGAACGCACTACGAGAAGATATCTCTCATTCGTTCAAGCTGATAGTGTAACAGTTTGACAAAAAGTGTGTTGGGACACTAGTACGTAACCTAGATGTGCACTCAGACAACTCATTGTCTGATAACAGAGTTAATACAATCTTTGCCAATGCATTATTAGTTATTGTGCAATTTGTCATATTCGAGAAATTAGTCGACTCGACTATTTCATGCAGTTCATTGGTCAGGTTGTTGTTACAAATTCGCTAAAATGGTCGGCGGAAATCGATTCCGTGTGTAGCAATACTTGTAACTGGTTTAATTTGAAAACAGACTCAGATTATTATGCGTCTTGTGGTTCTGCAATATTTTAGTCCCTAAGTTTTATGGACTGTGTAAGAAAATATTAAAATAGGGGAAGGCTAAAAAAGACATTGATTTAAAAATTAGAAGAGCATCCTTTATTTATAAAAATAACAAATTTATAAATAAGTTCTCTTCGTTTTGAAAACATTAACATTTACATCTATCACAGTTAACAATAGCGATATAATATTACAGATTTTTATATCTCAGCTGATCGCTTTCGACTCTAGTCCCGCGATACGTAATGTGGCACTTTCTATTACAATAGACTAATTACTTTCGAAAATATCCAATCGCCATCTTACGAAACTATAACAATAATTTAGTTTTGCTTATATTTTACCCGCGATGTTTGTCTGACTACAACTTTTAGACATATACGTATTAGATAGTATATTATAATGCATGTATGTAAACAATTACAATTTACTTACATAACGCAAGCTAAAAAATATATAGATTATGATTGCAATATAAAATAATAATAACAAAGTTACACATGCGTCAATTCGGTAACAATTTATAATGAAACATCAATCGTCGGTAGTTCGTTACACTATAAGCCTTATATTAAATGACAATTTCCTGCAGTCCATTACATTACATAAAAACTATGGTATATACTGATTTCTTCGAAAGTTTCTCAACTACAATAATAATATAAAAATACATTGAGCACATGTTTACTTTGAACGTGTGAAATAAAAATTTTGCACATGGTCGTAAAAATAGTTTCGAACGAAACGTAATATAGCAGTTAAAATAGTTTCGTTACAAAATGAAAATATTTAATTTGGTAAATTATTGATTGGTTTGAGGATTATATTTTTAATTATTTAAGCATCGACATAATAATACATTCGTTTACTAGGATCTACAATATACCCTGGGGTTGTGGTAAGTATTGGGACGGCTTGAGCAAAGCTATTTAGAAGATCAGCAGAATTTATTCTTGCATTATTTGTTGTGCTTTTTACTTGAATATCAACAGAATCATTATCTTCTGATGTTACTAATTTTGCACTTTTGTAGTTTCCACCATGCATTCTTTCATTTCCAGAATGCCGGTGGTTATCACCTTCCCGTGATGACGAATGTTCTCCTATCGATTCAGAACCGAATTCAACTAGTTTCTGATTTCTGCCACCTTTTCGTCTTTTATCGTATCTCAGGTTACCACCATGCATTGATTGTGTTGGAGGTTCACTCAACTCAATTAATTTAGAGCTTCGACTGCTTTCAGTTGTTACTTCTATATCGCTCATTGCTTTTAAATTACCCCCATGTAATCTTTTCGGAACATAATCATCCAATTCAATGTGTTTTGAGCTTTTACTTTGCGAAGTTTCTGCATCTTTAGGGTGATTTGTACCTGTATCATCTGCTGGCAGTTTTGTTAACCGTAAATCTTCTTTCGTAGCTTTTCTATAATTGCCACCATGTTTTGGACCCTTCTCGAGATCTGTTTTTTCTACGAATACATCCACATCACTCAGATCATTAATTGCTTTTGCTAAGCTATCGTCTTTATATAGTTCTAAAGCAGCAGCTTTATTTTGATGCTTCTTTTTGGGTACTGCTGGCATTTCTTTGATGATTTCAACTTCTTTAATATCTTGTTTAAACTGAGTCATATGTGGAGATGATTTATTAGCTGGTGACTCTTTGTGAATTTCTATCTTTTTTCTTGTGACGACTGGTTTGTGTATAATCCTAACATTTCGAACTGGTGGGACAGGTGTAGAGGTGCGAACGTGTGTTGGAACAGTGGTTGGGGGAGCAAGCGTTGTTTTAGCTAATGTGTGTTTAATTGGATGTGTTGTTGCAACTTCAGGCATTTGTGGAAAATTTTCCTGTACTTCTTCAGCAGCTACTTTTTGGTCTTTGCTCTCATCTTCCTCATCATCGTCATCATCGTCATCTTCATCATCTTCATCATCGTCATCATCGTTTTCATCATCGTCATCGTCATCATAGTCCTCATAAACATCATCTTCATCATCATCATCCTCATCGTCGCTTTCATTATTTTTAGTTTCATCACTGCTTTTGTTGGAATCATGTTTCTCATTTTTCTTGGATCGATGGTGGGCTATTTTATCATCCTCCTCTTTTTCATACATAGGAATATAATCGTCCATGTTACTCTTTACTCCAATTAATGCATCCACTTCTTCTTTTTTCATATCTTCTTCGTCATCATCGCCATACTTTTTAATATCCGTGACTATAGTACTAGCATGCGATTTTTTCTTTTTTTCTCTATATTTTGGCACTATCGTTTCGTCACCTTCTTGATGAATTTTTGGTTTAGTAGCCTCTGTTTCTTCTGATTTTTCCTCAGCTGGCTTATAGTTGCGAAATCGAGTTACTAATTTGAGACGCTGCATTTCTGTAGTTTGCTCGGGTTCTTCTTCACTTGTACTTTTCTGAGGAGTTCTTTCAAGTTTTATCCGTCTTCTAAATGAAGGTTTTGGTGAGGTGGTCGTCGAAGTAGATGTGATTTCATCCACATCATCATCCTCTTCATAATCTTCGGTAGACTTACTTGCATCAACAGGCGATGTACTTGTTTTTTTAATAGTGTTTGAAGCAGCAGCATTTTGAGAATCAGTAGATTTAGGAATAAATTGAGCGACGTCATAATATGGCTTTGCGTTGATTTGTGCACCTTGGAAACGTTGCCGACCTCGATTGACTTTTTGAGCATACTTAATACTTCTTTCTGTGGTTGTGTGTGACTTATATGCATCAACAGTCATCGCTCGTTTATTTTCAACTGGTGTGTATTCGGTTTTATGATTAGCTGGTCTAATTTCATATCTTGGTTCTCCTCTTCGATGATCTACACTGACATCAACGAAAGTTGCATCACCATTATCATTTTTTGTGGGTCTTGGTCTATCTTTTCTTCCTATGTCAACATATGTCCTTTTTGGTTGTCTATCTTCTATGTTTGATCGAGAAACCCTTTCTGCTACTCTACTTGACTGTAACTGTTTAATCAATGGACTGATATTACTGGTTGTTGTCGTTTTCTTTGAATCTTGTACTTGACTATCCCTTATAATTTTATAGGGTTCGTACACAAAGGGCGTTGCCCTTTTTCGTCTTAACTTAGCGGGGAGAAAAGTCACGACTTCTTTATTTTTAAAAAAGGTATCCATTTTATTTGAATTGCTTGCGTTACTATTTAATAATCCATTTGCAAATGTGTCTATGGGAATTGTTACAGCGTGAATATTTTTTAAAATATCAGTATACCCAAGATTGTGCTGGGTATTGTTATCTGGTGTATACAAAGTCGTTATTAAGTCATCTCTTGTTTTATTTATAGATTCTTGTAAGTTTTTCTGATCAGCTCTCAGTTTATCTACAAGAATAAAGACATTTGTGTTTTCAGCTTCACTTAATTTATCTTTTATGTCATTTAATTTTGATTTTTGTGAAAGTTCTCCTTTGAGCTTGTATGACGAATGTTTTGGTGCTATAATAGGCTCAGGGTTCGATATTATTTCTTCCTTAAAAAATGGGCTATCTAATGGGTTTTCTCCAAAATATTTCGCTTTGAAACAGTCAATTTTGTCACCAAGACCTATTAGGCGCGGTTGTTTTTTAACTGTTTCGAAACTTTTCTTTGCATTAGAGTTTTCATCTTCGTCCTCTTCTGAATTTGTAGGATTTTCTCCATTTTTCAATTTTTCGGGTATTGGATCAACTTCTTCATCTACTTCAGAGCATTCAAATTGAGACCGTGAATCATAAAACTCAGTTCCACCCTTTGATTTTCTGGGTATTAATTTGAGATTTTCCGCATACCTTAAAGGTGAATTTTTATTTATACCTTTTACTCGGTTAAAGTAATATGGATATTTTTCTTTAATACCATCTATTTTAGATGCTGCTTTAAGTTTTTCAAGGTTTGGATCATTTTTTGGTAAAGACAACGTTGATGTAATATTGATTTCAGGTACTTCGAAATTAACTTCTCTCTTACCAACTCCATGTTCTGACTTTGCTATATTTTCTTGTTGGTTACTGTCATCATCATTACTGTTGTTTTCATTGCTATCATCATCATACTCAATTCGGTCAGTATTTTCTTCACTGTTCGCACTATCTTCAGACTCATTAGTCGATGAACCTTGCCTTTTGTTTCTATTTCCAACTTCAGGGTCATCCGCGTGTTCTAAGTTGGCTTCAATATTCTCTTCATGTTCATCTTCAGAATAATTCTCGGAATCCGTCTCTTCCTCATCATCTTTGTTATTATTTTTCCATTTTTCGCCATGTTCTAAGTTATCTCTATACTCTAGACCTCGACCATCAGAATACTTTCCACTGAAAGTGGGAATTTTGTATAGTCCACCACTGTTTTCGTGCTCTTTAAGAAAGCCGCCATGTCCTTCGTGGTCAGAAGCATGTTTCTGTTCTCCAGCATGATCATAAGCGGAATCTTCGTAGCCTTCTTCGCTATATACGGTTTGTGCTTTTGTGCTCTTTACTGCTTCTCTTAACCTTGGTGCATTTAGGATTTCCTCGTAGGTTTCTGCATCATCAAAAGCGGCTTTTTTGGGCAAGTGTTTATAAGTTTCTGTTTTTCTTACTTGAGCGTAATTTTTTACGGGAACAAACTCATCTTCATCGTCCTCGTTTTCGTCGGCTGTTTCTTGTTTTTGAAGTTCTAATTTTTGATAGTTTGCTGGTCGATTTTGTTGCGCAATTTTGTTGACAGATTCATCAAGATTGTTCCTTAATCGTTCATACTTATGTTTACCATTTTCATATATATCATATCCATCTTGAGGCTCGGCAACATTTGAAGATGTTAGTACTTGAGGATATTCATTTTGTTCATCGTCGTATTTCATTGCATGCTGTTTTCGTAAATGTCGAATGTGGTGATGTAATGGCCGGTAATGTACAGGTCTAATTTTTGCGTGTTGATTCCAAGGATGTTTGAATTTCTTATTTAGTAAATTATTTCTGGTAGGATCTTGATAGGGTCGAACGTAATAAGCAGGTTTTCTTTGAGGTCTGTGAATTTCATATTGTGCAGGTATATTTTGAGGAGAAAAAAGTTTGCTGTCAGTTTTTTCTGGACTTTCTAGATATTCGTCTTTAGTAATATTAGGTTCCCCGGCCTCTTTCTCATAATTTTGTAGCCTGTTTTTGCTATCTTGCAAATCATTCCTAATTTTTGTAAGCACTGGATCTTTATAAATAGCTTCTAATGCTGGTTCTTCGGCATGGTAGGGATGAAACACCTCATAATTACTTGCAATCGGCGTTACATAACTGTGTAATGGACCATTTTGCTGTACATAACTTTGAAATGGTTGAAATACTTTATTCTTTTCGTCTAGAATTTGGTGAATACCTAAAACAGGTTTCTGTTTACCTGTAAACGGTTTCACTGGGTAGGCTTTATAATGGTCTTGAGGATTTTGAACTCCGTGGAAGGCAGCTATGTCAGCAGCAAATTTCGGTTTTTGCGCGGTATATTCGAAGTATTCCGTAGGAACTGGCTTGTAATATGATGGCTTTTTGGCGGGCACATTTTGTGGTACAATTATCTCCACTGATTCTTTAATCGGTTCATTTTTCACTTCACTCGAAGCACTTTCGTCCCATGTGACTGGGACCTTTATTGATGAACACAGTTCACAACACAGTAACACTAAGAGTAAACAGGAGACTTTGGTCATGTGCATTGTTTACATCACGGATCGCGACGATGGTTGGCGGTTGACTGAACCAGGTCGATGGGCAACCGAACGGTTTTTATCTCCTCGGTCGTTCGTTGCGGACCGATTGCTTGTCGGCCGTTCGCTTTGTTTATAGCGTATGGTCCAAGCTATAAACTTAGGTGGCGTTATTATTAATTAAAAATTCGATTGTGTCTTTGGCAGTTATACTTTAGGATTAATAAAAATTGGAAATGGAATGAAATGTTACCAAAAATTATATTTTCTACTTTTTGTCACACCCATACTAATAACGTGTTCACTGCCATAAGGGTTTGCACAAGATAAACACGTAAAACATGTGCGAGTATTATATTTGTAAATTGTGTGTTGCTAACAAAAAAACTTATATGCCAGTGGAATTTTGAAGACGACTCTTATAATATGTCCTTCGAATTGCTATATTACATCACTTGCACCAAATATCTGTTCAATGGAGAAATTAAGAAAAAAAGGTACATGAAAGATAACGAAACAAATAAATGGCTAACGTCTGGACAAAGAGAGCCGGATGTCGGCCTTACAAGGTGTTACGTGAAAACGTATGATTTATTATTTGTTACTCGTTTCAGTACTTTGGACCACGTGTCTCATATTGTATAATTACATTGTGTAAGGGACTATCTATTCATACTTAATGTATGTAAGGTTTAGAATAGACCAGGAGGGGATTTTTGACTAAGTATCTTGGGGACTGTGGGTGAATTTGTTTTGCTAGAATAGCTTACTATTATATTAGTTATACATTGATACTTTAATTAAAATCAGTTTGTAAGAAAAGTGAGGTATGTTGCATGTACTTATTGTTTGTTTTTTCTGCACTCATCCTTTAAGTGTCACAAAAATGCAGTATGATATCATTATAATGGAACTATGAATAAATGTACCTAGTATTATTTATTTTTAAATGAACATACATATTGTCGTAATGAAGTCTATAGCCATTGTTATTACAATTTCAAACCCAGTATGCTAGGAATGCTTCTTATTTCTCGAAAAGGAAGGGACATGAAGGGATATTTTCTTTCATAACAAGTTTTAAATTAGTAAATTGATTTTGTTATCGGTGTTTATTGCTCAACGTGTCGCGGCTTTAATTCTCGCTTGGAACTATTCTTGTTGTAATCCACAAACAGTTGTTTCAAGTCTGAGTGTGATGGTTTATTTGATCCATAACATGTTTGTAAACACTTCCCCAATTTACATAATATGCACTTAAATCTTGGGAATTTTAGGAATCTTAGTGTTAGGCATTAGAACTTTTTTTTAGTTTTAAAAATAAATATGTTTTATTTTAAGGACATAATTTTATGTTTTTTATGAAGACACAGTTTGGTATAAAATATTATTTTAAAGCTCAATTTGTCAAAACCTGTAATTTGTATAAGGTTAGTGAAAGTTGTATGTATATGAAATTATTAGTTTATTTGGTTCATAAACCCATGATTTCCCATTTAGTTCGGCCTTGCAAGACGTCTGTCGAATCGAACTGGTAATTATAATTTAGCTGGCTATGGCGAAATTGTGTTTGGTGCGTGCAGTAAAATTACTAGTTAAGATGTGAGATAAAATTGTTACGGAAAGTTCTAGAGTTCTGAGTAGGAGGACAAGTGTTTGCTCAGTAGTTTATAATAGTGTAACAGTGGTTTATAGTTCATTTATGTCATTCCCTAACTTACTGTATATTCTTTTATTTGTCTGGTCCACTTGACTCACCCCGTAAAGAAAATAATTATAATTATTAAACAGACAGATAAGTACATATTTTTTATGCTATGTCGGCAAACGAGCACACGGCGATCTGTATTAGGGTTTCGGATATTTAGGTTAGGTTATTAGGGTACAGGAAAGCAATTGGAGGGGCGGGGGGAGTATTAGGCATCCCTCCAGTAACCTTGCTCACACTGCGAAACACAACGCTCTGGTTGATTCACGCCTGAGGCCGTGGTGTCACCCCGGCCAAGCTTGGATCTCTTATGTTTCAATATTTTCCAACCCGCATATTTTGCTGATTTTAGTGGAATCACAATTTCCACTAAAATCAAATAAAAAAAATATCAAAAATATACATTGTTGTAATTTTTAAGCTATATCCACATAGCCATCCACAGAATGACTTCAAACTTGGTTTTTATGATATTATTTAGGTACAATATAATGTACACATAAAATACAAATGGCAGCTGCATCTACTACATAGTAAGGAGCGCCGCTTGCAGTAGACGACAGACGACAGGTCGGCCTTTCGCCTGTCTCGCCTAGTCGCCCACCGTGAAATATTATTACCACTTTTAGGCCGGTAGTTTTAGTGTCCAATACAGCTTCTGTTCTAAACATAGTTATTACATTTCGCAAACTGACTATCGTATTTGGCTTGTGTGTATAATATTCGACATTAAAATATTTTGTTACTATGGAATGTCTTAGAATTGAAAAACATTCATTCTGTTCAAAATGTTAAGAAATATATATACGTATATGTTAAAAGTGTCTTTTGATTCAAATTTTTTAGCGAAGTTATTAGTTTTAGTTTTACCTACAGTTAGTTATTTGGCCATAGCATGGTGTATGGAATTACACTCGAAGAAGAAGGTTTGCCTTCTATACGACACTCATAATTATGATACTTATTTGCTTTAAGATTAGGGTTTACACTTATAAATGACTAAGAGAGCGGTTTCTCTCGGATATTGACAGAAGTGATGTTTTAAAAGCAAATTCTACAAATATGCTCACAACCAATCCTTCCAATCATCCTCAATCCTCAAATCCCCTATGTTGAAATCCCTTATAATTAATAACAGTCTGGCAATGTACTTGTAGTAACTCCTTTGGCCATGGGCGGCGCTGATTCAGGTATCCGTTTGCTCGTTTGCCGACCTATGACATAAGAAAAATTATATTTAATTATAAATATTAGGTTTTTTCTGTTTCGGCTTTTCTTGTTAGCAAAATAGTTACTCATCATCACATTTTACAAAAAATAAATTTAATAATAAAAAAAAGAAGACGACGCGGCGACGGTTAGTCGCCGCGTCGCGTGTCGCGGAATGCTGCTCATGAATATGGGCCTCGAGAATGGCTTGAAACTAGTCGAGTATCTCGTCAAATTATTACGCGAGTAAGTCGAAAACATAATAATTAATTTAGAATGTCTCACGAAAGTTATTATAAAAATTAAATTAATAATATTACTTTATAATTTCACAAGGAGTATAGAAAAAATAGAGCATTAAATAAATATCGTGGATCACGGTTACTAATTAGGCAATCCTGTTGACTGTTAAACTATTTTCGATCGTATCTAATTGGTGGAAATAGTAGCCATTTATTACGAACGGCGAGCCTGTAACAATTCAATGGTAAGTTTGTGAAACATTTCGAGGGGAACTTATTTATGTAATGTATCTCTGCAATCGGTAAATAGAGCAGTCGGTTAGTGTTGAAGTAATGTTATAGACGACGGGTACGGTTTACTTAGAACTATGTCGCCAATTTCGTCAGGAGCATTTGTAAATAAATAATGAAATTAGTTGGCCGTCGCGTCAGTTAATCAAATGGTTTTGGAATGCGACGGTTTTATTGTTACTTTGGTAGTTAGTAATGTAACTGGAATTGTGTTTGGGCAATTAGCTGCTGTGCTTCGTATCGTGGGTTCGATTACCGCATTGAATTTTTTTTGTGATGTGCATGTATTGTCATTTTCACATATTGTAGAAAACATATAAGTATGCTGCTATGTTTTGAAAAATATTTACAACTTTAAAGTTCTGGAGAAAAGGTAAAATATTGAAAAAAAAGATACGCGATTGTCTTGCAAACGAACTTTCAGATTACCTGATGATGACACCCGCCACAACTGGGGTTTCAGATATTTAACCGCCATTTTTTTGCTGGTGTGAATGTCGACTTTGCGGTTTTTTTTCAGCATTAGCTCGCTAATACTGGATCCTCTTACATAGATCTAAATACAAAAGAACATTTTCAATGAAAATCGTAACATAACTTTATTGATTCGCCGGAGATGCCGGAGATTCTTCAATAAAAGTCTGAAACTCCCTCTCAATTCACCCTGGGCGAGAGAAGTCATTACACGCAGAAGTCACAGTCAGATAAAATGGTTTTCCTAAGTCTTTCTTTTTCTTTCATTCTTTTCTTTTTTAAAAAACGTTGCCCCACTTTAGGATTTTCTCCTGTGTTGTGGGTGCATTTACAAACATACAATGTCACATACACATGACACCCAGACCCGAAACAACAATTTGTGGATCACACAAAGTGTTGTTTCGTGCGGGAATCGAACCCGCGACACGTTGCACGGCAGCCAGTTGCCCAGCCACCGCACCAACCGTGCAGTCAAAAGATACTACAGATTAATTATACTAAATACGTTACAGATTAATTATACTTAATTTAGTCTTATGGTGGGATAGGAGGGCAAACGAACAGACGGAATACCCGGCAGTAAGTAATAGGCGCAACCCATTGACACGTGCAATACCCGAGGAGTTACAAGTCAGTTTCTGGGTTTTAGGGGTTGTTAGGAATTTGCAGATAGAGAAATTTGGAGATTGTGGTTCGGAGGGAGGATTGGGTAACCGACACGTGACAAGCGGTGCTTTACGCCGAATGTCTATGAAACCGTCTTAGGTAATACATTTCAGAAATATTAAATTATGCGACATATTGTAATAAAAACAAAACTAAGCTATCAACAAAAACAACTTTCAACACAATATAACATATAAATCGTAATACTCTATAATATTTTATCAACACACGCAAGTAACACGTAGTTTTGCTCTCACATTTAATATTAGTTTCGTACGAGGAAGTTATAAATACAAATCTAGGCATTTCTCAACTACCTGTTATTGATAAATGGTTTGGTCTAGATAGTTCCAGCGCCCAGGGTCGATGACCTAGGGTCTAGGTCACTGTAGGCTGAAGATTATTGTACAATTCGT